GCTTTTTTTTTTTTTTTTTTTTTTTTTGTCTAATTGAAACTTTTTTGCTTCCTTGTTTTATTATACAGTATATCAAATGATTTTTTTGGATGATTGGGGTTAAACATATGTTAATTCGATGTTTATGAGTCTTCTTTCACGCTCTCTCATCATGTATTTTGATGTTATTGCAGTTTTGCCTGGAAATTAAAAAAGATCATCTGCTCTATCTGCTATCTGCTCTGCAACTGTTTAGTAAATTTATAGTGTCAATCATTTTTTAAAGATCATCATCAAACTCATAATATTCAATACTAGAAAAATTGATTGTTCGGTTTTAAAGTTTTTGGCGTGACCTTTTACAGATGCATAACGTCCCCAAATATATATAATATAGGATAGGATATCAGATGTCAATCATAACCATGTCATAAAACGAAACGTAGGGTTCATGAGTAATGCCGTAGGGCTAAAAAAAATAAAAAAAATAAAAAAATCATAATTCATCTCAAAGTTCTTTTAACGTTGGTAAATGGATTAATAATGGGTTAATCAAGGGTCAATCAAGGGTTAATCAAGGGTTGCTTAAATTTGGAAACGTATAAAATTCTGAAATAAGTCGATCACACAAATTTTTTTTTTTTTTTTCTTAATTTTTAATTTTCGAGCTTATAAAAAATTTTAAATTAAAATTTCTTTTTTTAGCTTAGTACTGGAATAATTTTATGTTTATTACGTTACATAAGCTAAATTTTTTTAGGGGTTTAGAAATTTGCTTTTTACAAAAAAATCAAACCTTGAAATTATGTAAATAATATCGATTATTCGATTTAATAATAATATCGATTTAATAATAAAATCGATTTAACAATAATATCGATTAATAATAAAATCGATTTAATAATAATATCAATTGAACAATAAAATCGATTTAATAATAATATCAATTGAACAATAATATCGATTTAACAATAATATCGATTTAACAATAATATCGATTAATAATAAAATCGATTTAACAATAATATCAATTTAATAATAACATCGGTTTAATAGTTTAATAATAATATCGGTTTAATAGTTTAATAATATCGGTTCATAAAATGATAGATCATGTTTGAACATGAAGGGCAACCCTTGTTTATACCAGATTGTCTATACAATTTCTACATTTATCGCCGAATCGGGACACAATCAGGATACTAATTCAACTTGATTCGATTTTTTTCTTTTTAATAAATAAATACTGTTCCGTTCCAATCACGACAATAAACAAAAGATATCAAACAACAATAATCAAAACAACAATCATAACATAATTTAAACTATAATCAAACTATAATCAAACTATAACTATAATCACTATAATCAAACTATAATCATAAAACAATATCATCGTATCATCATTCAAACAAATATCCCACATGTTCATGACATACTTTTTCTTTTTTAAATCAAACATTTATAGAAGTATTATTATTTATCATCGGAAAAGCACAAACGAATTTTGATTCATTCGAATTTGCACGACCATATTTTATCATTCCAACTTTTGGTATAACATTCCATTCTATTATGTACGTTCCATTAACTCCATTAAAACTATTTGTTATATCATATAAACTATATTTATTTAATGTTTTATGAGATTTTATTCGTGTTATGGAATTTTTCATTATTGTTGTTGACCATAACATTATTTGATTTCGTTTCTAATAAAATTTTGAATAGTAATTTTAATATTTATTTTTTTTTAAAAAAAAAAAAATAAAGAAAAATTTCAAATAATTTTATTATCACTTACATGAGTTGATGTTTCATATTCAACAATTACTGATACAAAGATGGCTTTTGTATTAAATGTGAATAATGAAGTAAAATCTGATTTCATTTATTAAAAAAAAAAAATAAAAATTTTTTAAATATATTTCATTAATCTTTCTTCTTTCAATTAAAATTCTTACCCCCATCAATATCCATCGTTACAAATGCAAATTCTCGAAGTCCTTTATCTTCAACTTCTTCAAAGTCGTAAAGCCAAACTTTAATATTTGTAACTTGAACGCACAGAAGAGAAGGTGACTTTGTTGAATAATAAATGTCAAATATTGTCATGAGAAAACTTAAAAATAATCCAACCAAAAATGCACGTGTAAAAAAAGGTATAATACGTCGAAATATGATGTACATATTAAAATATTATTATTGTCATTGAAAGAAAGTTCACAAAGTTCACTTAATCGAATGGTGCCAGAGTTTCATTATATTTAAGAAAAATTTTTGATTGTCCCAAAATTGGCTGAAATATAAATGTAAATATCGCGCGTTTGATATTCACGTGATGTTGAACTAACGTTACACAACCTCTCAACATTCAACAAACAAATCGGGGAAAAATTAAAAATAAATAAATATCATTTTTTTATTATGAGATTAAATATTTATATTACTTGATTATCAATTTTTTTTATTCAATTCTAACCCGACACTATGAACAGTTTCTAAGAAAACTCTTACAGCTTCAGGATCAACTGTTGGTAAAATTCCATGCCCAAGATTAACAATATATCTTTCATTTGTACCAAAAGCTTCCAACATTGTTTTAACGGTAGAACGAATGTTTTCATCTCTTCCATATAAAACATTAGGATCCATATTTCCTTGTAAAGTTACTCTACCTTTGGTAATACTTTTAGCATATATTGGATCAATAGTCCAATCTAATGAAATTGTATCATATCCAATTTCTGATAATGATTCTAATGCATACCATGAACCTTTACAAAATATTGTCATTGGTACAGCATCATTTTTGAGTTGATTTTTAACTCTATTAGCAATTTCTTTGATGTAAGGTAATGAAAATAATTTAAAATCGTGTGGTGACAATTCTCCTCCCCAAGATTCAAATACTTGAACCATCTAAAAAAATTTAAAAATAAAATTATCATATATATAGTTTATTATCACTTTAATAATATTATATCGCAAGTATAAAATTACCTGAGCTCCAGCTTTAATTTGTCCTATAAGAAAATTCACTGCAACATCAGTAATAATCTGTAATAATTTTTTACTCTCTTCAGGATACTTAAATAACCAGGTTTTGGCTTTTGATAAAGTATTACTTCCTCCCCCTTCAATCATGTAAGCCATTAAGGTCCATGGTGCTCCAATAAATCCTAATAAAGGAACCCTTCCTTCCAATGCTTTTCTAGTCATTGTAATAGCTTCAAATACATATCCTAATTCTTTATATACATCTACATTTTTATTTAATTTATCAATATCTTCTGGTAATTCAAGTGGTGAAGGAAAATGTGGTCCTTTTCCTGGTATCATTTCTACCACTAATCCTAATGCTTGTGGTATAACTAATATATCTGAAAAAATTATTGCTGCATCAAATAATCCATCATACCTATTTATTGGTTGTAAAGTAACTAATGTTGCTAATTCTGGTGTACGACAAATTGTAAAAAAATCATGCTTTTCTCTTTCTTTCCGAAATTCTATAATTTTAAAATAAATTATAAAAATCATTTAAACTTAAATTAAAATCCTATTGTTTTTTACTTAAAATTATTCACCTGGTAAATATCTTCCTGCTTGTCTCATAATCCATACTGGAGCTCGTTCTGTTTTTTCTCCTTGTGTAATATGAAAAAAAATATATATAAGTTTATTCAAGAAAGAAATAATCTTTATTAACCCTTACTAACCACGAGCCGCACGAAGAATTAAATCATTTTTCAATGGTGGAAATTCTGTCATTTTCGACAAAATTTCGACTCAAAAAAAAAAAAAAAAGATAATCGGCATAGTAAACTTGTGATACAGTTGAAATAACGAACCCATGTGACATCGTGACGTTTGGTTAAATCATATTTTATTAAAAAAAAAAAAAAAATTAAAAATGAAATTAATGAAATTTCTTTTTACTCTATTTCTTTATTGTTTGCAATATCGATTCGCAAAATGCCAATATAATACGTTGGTAATTACATAATAATTGTTATTTTCTGGTTTTTTTTTCTAAATAAATATATTATAATCTAGCACAAGTGTAAAAAAAAAGGTTCAGTTATCCCTTCTAATTAAGAAACAAAAATAAATTTAGTCTACATCCATCTCGCTTTGATCTTTATTGGTAGCATTTTCATTTGTATTTTCATCTGTCTTTTCATCTTTCTTTTCTTTTGTCTCTTCATTTTCTACCTTTGCTGAATCTTCGGTAGTAGTTCCTTCTGGTTTGGGCGTATCTGAATTTTGTTTATCAGCAGTTGTGGGAGCTGGTGTTTCTTCTGGTTTAGGTTCAGGTTTGGGCTTAGGTTTTGATAAAATTGGTGACGCGAAATGTACTAAATTCTACATAAAAATAAATAAAAAAAGGTCATAAGAAAAATAAATCCTTATTTGCTTTATTTGTTGAATTTGGTTTTGTTATACATACCTCCCGTTCTTTTAAAATCTCACGAACGAACACTACAGGTGTCTCGTATTTTGGTACATTGGTTTGAGCTGCCAGTTTCTCATTTAACCATTCTGAGGTTTTTGTAGCCTTTTCTACAACACTCTTCTTTTCTTCATCAGGAATATGATTAAACCTTTCATCATTACTTGAAGCGCTGAGAATAAAATGTTGTATGTTATCACGTAATGATTTTTCAGCTCTAGGACGTTCTTCGGCTTCACGATATCGTTCTACAATAGGATTACCATATTTCTTCAATCCATCCAACTTTTCCATATATGTAGATTTTGTTGCATCTTCTCCTTCATCATAAAGCCAATTTTCAGTATCATTCAAAAGATTAATGAATGTATCCTTATCAGCTGGATTAACAAATTCCTGATATGTAGCATCCAATTTTCCTCGCATATCGTATACATATTCCTCGAGAGCGTTCTTTTGAGTTTCAGTGTCAGCAACAAGTTTATCAGTTGCAATCATTTGACCTTCTATTTCCTTTAATTGTGCGATTATTGTCTTGTCTAATGATCCTACACCAGATACCAGTGGTAAATCATTTTTTTTGACAAGCTTTTTAACTTTCTTTGTTGCCGGACTTTGTGGTTTTGGTTGTGTCTGTTGTCCCTCAGGTTTATTATCTGTTTCCATTGGCACCGGTTCATCTGATTTTGGCTGTTCTTCTTGCTTCTCCTGCTTCTCCTGCTTCTCCTGCTTTTCCTGCTTTGGCGGTTCTTCTTTTTCTTCTTTAATTACCTCTTCAACAACGTGAGCACTTTCTACGGACAAAACACCATGTACATTAAGTCTGGCTTTCACCTTAATAATGCTCAGATCGCCCGAATCGGTTGGTACTACTTCCTTTATCGAAAATCTGCCGATCCAAGAATTAATTCCTGCGGGAATTTTATCAGGTTCTGCATAATGGGCTTCAATATCAAACGGTTGTTTACGATGAAATGTTAAAATCTTAGTCGAAGGGATGCTATTGTTCTTTGGGAACACAACAAGCTCCGATTCCTCGTCTGGAATTTCAGGAATATTTTCCCATTTAATCTTAATTGGGTAATGAGTAACATCTTGAACTGAAAATTCTCGAACTTTAAATACAGGTGATAAAACAGCACATTGAAGTGCGCAACCACGTGAAACAGCTTCATCTTGATTAAGTGTAAAATTTAATTCCTTGCCAAAAAATTTTGATATACGTTCCTTTAAAGCTGGAATACGTGTTGAGCCACCTATTACTTCAACAGAATGAATTTCTTCCATTTTGAGTCCTGATTCCTGCAATGCTTGTATAAGAGGACTTTCAACCCTACTAATAAGATGTTCTGATAATTCCTCAAATTCTTGCCGAGACATAATAGCACTTACATCAACATCATTCATGATTGATTCTACGTTAATAGGAGCCTGTGAATTGGCTGATAAAACTTTCTTTAATTTTTCTACTGCTGTACGAAGACGGAAAAGTGCTTTTGAATTTGATTTAATATCAATCTTGTATTTTTCCTTAAATACTTCGGCAAAATGATTAACTAATACTTGATCAAAATCACGTCCTCCAAAATGTCGATCATATGCAGTGGATTTGATTGTCAATTGTCCTTTAATAAAGGAAACAACTGCTACACTATAACCTGAGTGCCCGATATCAACAAAAACGACATTACGAGGTTTATCCTCTGGTAAATCTGTCTTTGTAATACCATAACCTAATGCGGAAGCAGTTGTATCATTCATCAAACGTAAACAGTTTAAACCGCTAATTTCGGCTGCGTCAAGAATACTTCTTCGTTGAACATCAGTAAACCAGCCAGGAACAGAGATTACAACATCAGATACCGGGATTTTAAGTTCGACAGAAGCGATTTCTCTGAGTTTAGTAAAATACATGGTAATTAATTGTGTACCGGTGAAAACACGATCTTCGCCAAGGTATTGGACCTATGTTAACAATAAAATGAATATTAAAAAAAAAACTTGTCTAATCTGCCCGTTTCGTTAAATACATTAAATTAATTTGGATCATACCTTAACACCAAGTTGTCCTTTCTCATTTACCAATTCTGCATTAATATATTCTTTTTCGATCTCTTGAATTTCTTTATCCTGAAAAGTGCGACCGGCAAGCCGTTTTAAAGAACCTACTGTATTTTTGAAATTTGAAATTTCTTGAGTCTTGGCCGCTTCGCCCAAATATCTTTTTTTAGGACCAAAAGATACTAAAGATCTGTTATGAAATTCAAATTAAAATCAGGTATTATATTCACAAATTTTACGATAGCAAGTTATAGTTTAAAAAAGTAACTTACGGAGTGGCTCGGTTCGAAACTTCATTGCAAATTACATCAATCCCACGATTACGTGCTACCGCAATCTTGGAACTAAGATTTCCAAAATCAATACCTATAAAAAGTGGGATTATAAGACACCAATGGTAAGCTTACAAACATTAAAAACTAGAACGGAAACTACTCGAATAAGAGATTATTTAGCACGCACCTACAACAGACATTATAAAATATATAGATTAATTACTCTTGCCGACGCAAAGGAGTCGAGTAAATTCTCAAGAAACAAAGAACAAAAGGACTATTCAAAGCACTTTTTTTTTTTAAGTTTCTAAAACTTTATTTCTTATCAAAAAAAGGGAAGACCAACTTAAGCATCATAACTCATTATATATAGATTTTATTTTTTTTTCGAGCTGTATTTGATCTGACCAATCAAAATACTTTACGTGAATTTGCATTTCATGAATAATCTAGGACTTTCTAACGATTTCTATGGTTTTCATACATGAGTAACGTAATTTGAAAATGATGAAAATGGATCACATTTTAGGCAAGAATTACAGAATCATTATAATAACATATATAGAATTAAGTAAAATAAATTTTCCGGTAACTAAATTTTAGTAAAAAATATTATTTATTTCACATGAAAAAGTATAAATCAATTAAATTATCATAGTCTCAACACCAAATGACTCTAAATGCCTAGATAAAGTGAAAAAATAAGTAAACTGTTGATATATAGTAATAAAGATTATATTGCAATCAACCTGTAGATTTTGATGATGAAGCAATTCCATAACCGTTATACCGAGAAAGATTTAAGTCAGAAGCCGGAACCGTTCCATTTTTTTCATTTTCAGGAGCACCAGCAGCCCACATAATATAATTGATCTGTGCCATAAATTTTGCTTCATCATCGAGGAATTGGTATTTTTCATGTGGCAAATTCAATTTTTCAGCTATTTCAGAATTTGGCTCATCAACACCATCAAAAAATACACATGGAGGTGTACCGTTAGCAAAAGTTATGAACGCGGGTGTAATGTCTGTATTTTTTCCACGTGGAGATTTATTTTTATTTTTACTACTTCGCAAGAAATAAGGTTCTCTTCGTTGAAAAGAAGGCTCGTTTTGCATCTTTCTATCTTTATTAGTTCGTGGTTTAGTTCGTGTCATTTTCCTTTCTTTTTTTGTAGTGTCTAAAAAGTAGTTTGCTTTTTGATCATCGCGATTATCAATATATACTGAAAGTATCAGATGATAATCTCGTGAGTCATTACTTATCTTGAAAATTGAAAATCCGAAATAATTTTTTTCCCAACTCACTATCAATGTCAAAGGTGATAAATTTTTCTACGAAATTTACGAAATTTACGAAATTTCAATTATTTATTAAAGGAATAATAATGAAATACGCTAATTTTGAATTTTTTTTTTTAATTAGGAAATCACGATTCTTTACTTTGCGACGGCTCGTGATGCTACTAATGTATCGTCTGAAAAAATTTCATTACCGTCTCAAAGCATGTCTATGTCCCTCAAAGATTTAACAGATTTATTAAAAAAACGACACGAAAAACTTGTACCAGTACTTGAAACCTCTTTATATGCCATCAATATGGAATATGTAGAATGTGATTATCAATCAATATTAGTTAAAGAAGGTGATGAAGTTGCTATAATTCCACCTGTTTCTGGTGGTTAAATTATTTTAGTTTAAATATTATCACTATTCAGATCAAAAGTTAAGTTTCTCTTGTTTCTCTTACAAAGTACAATTCAACCTTATATTGTTTCGGATTGCAAGAGAATTTTGGTGAAAAATTTTTTTGTTTTTTCAAACGCGAACTTTTTCATTATTTAATAGTGTTGATTTTATATATATTACTTTATTTCGTGACGGGTTACATAAGTTTAAAATTATCAGTTAAAATAGTATAAATAAATAATTTGGGATGGAGGAATGCTATGAAAAAATTTTACAGAAAGTTGATTATGATTTTTACTCTTAAATTGTGATAACTGTAAAAAATATTAATTAAAGCCACTGTGCTTACTACGTTTAAGTCGTTTAAGTGTAGATAGACTTATTCCTAATTGTGCGGTAAAGCAGTGGTAAAGTGTGAATAAAATAATGAATTTGTTTTTATTTTTATTTCACGAGGTTACAATACAAATTACAATACAAATTACAAAGAAATTAAAAAAATAAAATCAAAAAGTAACTCTAACAACTGATAACCAAACCGCTACAAGGCGATGTCATCTTGGTGGTAAAAATGAAAACGAACAGGGATGCTCTAATAGCACCGCCGGACAAAATAATGAATTTGTTCTTTCTCTTCTTTCTCGTTGAAAAATGAAATTCGGGATAAATCACATGATAGGGTTACACAGACATACATTAGACGCGTTAAAACCAGTAAAAAAAAGTAAATTACAGAGACTTGCTTGTAATTTTCTTAATTTTTACAAACACCTGCTTTCGTCGCAACATCTTTACTTTTTTATAGCTCAATACAAAATGCCACGCGAATTAATTACAATACAAACTGGGCAATGTGGAAACCAAAGTAAATTTATTTATATCTTATTTATTATTTATTATTTGTCTCGAATTACAACTAAGATTTAAATTTTAGTTGGTATGGAGTTTTGGTCCCAACTCTGTGCTGAACATGGGATCAGTAAAGAAGGTATACTAGAGGATTTTGCGACTGAAGGTGGTGATAGAAAAGATGTATTTTTTTATCAGGTAGATATTAAACATTTCTTCTCAATTCTTTAAAATGACAATTAATATTTATTGATTATTGAAATTTATTAAGTTATTTTATGTATTTAGGCTGATGATGAACATTATATTCCAAGAGCTTTGCTTTTAGATTTGGAACCAAGAGTATCATCTAATTTATTATTTAATGATATATATACCTAATATATATATTAATTAAACTGGTTACATATTAGGTTATAAATAATATCTTGGCTTCTCCTTATTCAAATCTATATAATCCTGAGAATATTTTTTTATCCAAAGATGGTGGTGGTGCTGGCAATATTTGGGCTTATGGATTTTCTCAGGCCGAAAAAGTTTGCGAGGATATATTTGAAATGATTGATCGGGAAGCTGATGGAAGCGATTCTCTTGAGGTACGAAGTATTTCCTTGGTAACAACATCCTATCATTTCTTTAATAATCCTCATTTAAATCTAATAATTGTTTAGGGATTTATGCTTCTTCATTCGATCGCAGGAGGGACAGGTTCTGGAATGGGATCTTTCCTTTTGGAACGACTTAATGATCGATATCCCAAAAAATTAATAACCACATATTCAGTATTTCCAAATAATGAGGAAGTTTCAGATGTTGTTGTTCAACCTTACAATAGCATCCTAACATTAAGAAGATTAACAAATAATGCAGATTGTGTGGTGATTAATCTATTCGTAATTTATGTTTTTTTATGGTACATTGAGGATAACGTTCATCTAACAATCTTTTAGACTGTATTGGATAACGCAGCGTTGAATCGTATAGCATGCGATAGACTGCACATTCAAAATCCTACATTTGCTCAAACAAATCAGTTGGTTTGTTTTTTTTTTCTTTTACTTAATTTATTCGATACTATTTAAAGATCCCTCTTCCTCTTCCTCTTCCTCTTCTTGGTCTCCCTTTTCTTCTTGGTCTTTCCTCTTGTTCATCTTCTTGTTCTGTTTCTTCAATATTAACTGAAAAAGAATTTATATAATCTATTTAGGTATCGACTGTAATGTCTGCAAGCACAACAACACTTCGTTATCCTGGATATATGAATAATGATCTGGTTGGAATAATTGCTTCGCTTATTCCTACGCCCAAATGTCACTATTTGATGACGGCATATACACCTTTTACAAGTGATCAGGTCGAAAAGGTAGAGCACAATTCCATGTAACAAAATTATTTTGATCACATATTAACTCGAAAGAATTATATGTAGGCAAAGTCTGTACGTAAAACTACGGTTCTCGATGTGATGAGGCGATTATTACAACCAAAAAATAAAATGGTATCAACTAATCCATCAAAAAAAAGCTGTTATATATCGGTCTTGAATATAATTCAGGGGGAAGCTGACCCTACGGACGTTAGTTATTACTTTTTCATTTGAATATTAAGGTTATATTAATCGGATGAGAACTTAAAGATATAACATTTTATGATAGGTGCATAAATCTTTGCTAAGAATTCGCGAGCGTCGCTTAGCACAATTTATTCCTTGGGGTCCAGCCAGTATTCAAGTAGCATTAACAAAAAAATCACCATATATTCAAACATCTCATCGCGTAAGCGGGTTGATGTTAGCAAATCACACCAGTATTGCATCAGTAAGTTATGCAACTTGACTAATTATTATTACTTGATAGAAACTTGGCAGAAATTTTATCTAATTACATTATTTCAGCTCTTGAAACGTACCTGTGACCATTATGATCGTTTCAGAAAACGTGGAGCTTTTTTGGAACAATTTAAGAAAGAAGATATGTTTGCTGATAACCTTGAAGAATTTGACGCTGCTAGGTACTTTTTCGGCGAAATACTAATTTTTTCAAAAATTTTTATTAGTTACTTATTTTTCTTTATTTTAGGGAGACAGTACAAGACCTTATTAATGAATACGAATCATGTGAATCAAATGACTACATTAATTATGTAGGTTTTTTCAAGTATTAATAATAGCTTTAACTTTGTGTTTATCGTTATGACTAATGTTATGTTAATTATAGGGAATTTCTAAGGAACAATCACAATAATAAGTTTATTATAATATAATGTCAAGTTTATTAAAAAAATAATTTGATGAATAATTTGCATAAAAGTTTTTCACAATGTGTATAACAAATATTTGTATAATAAATAACGAAAAAAAAAATACGATTCAAAGTTTTGGTGACATACTTTTAAATTATCGTGTTCCGTATATTAAATATTAATTGCCGATAACTTGGTTATTTTTAAAAATCAAAAATAATTAACCATACAATGAATCACACGATAATATCGTTATTGTGCAAATCTTTACAAATCATCTGCTATCATTGGTTAATAATTGTGATATTTATCAACGCAAAGCACAACTTATAATTATTAATTTGTCGAATTGCTTCTCTTTACTGAATTTTTAGAAAACATACGAATTATTCATTGTTTGGGTATTTATATAAAAAAAACTAATTTCACGACTACAAATATCTAGAGCCTTTTCGATTCCATGCCAAATACCACCTATAACGGGCTTAATTTTTTTCTTTAACATTCTTCCAAATTCATCTCTGTAGTTCGATGTTTTCCATAATTATATGTAGTTATGTCTCCATATTAAAGCTGGCACAATTTCTGTGAGGTAACTCAGATTATTTTTTTAATAAATTTTATAAATCCTTAAATTTTTGGTCGGTTCTGTAGATCGGGCCCATATATAATTTTAAAGTTGTACGAATATATTTTAAATTTTCGCGTCCCGAACTTGCATAGCTTAAAAACTATGAAGTTATGGTCCATTTTTTATACCGCACGATTTTTGCCTACCTAGTTTGCTATTAAATGCTTAAAAGTCTAAGTGATTGTAAATATAATAAAAAGAAAGCAACAAAAATATGATAGAAACAAGAAATATATTATTAATAGGTCGTACGGGTAATGGCAAGTCGGCCTTAGCCAATGTAATAAGTGGTACTAGTAAGTTTAAAGAAAGTGAATTTGTAAACAGTGAGACAAAGGATGTTCAAATCGAAATAGTCGATATAGATGGAATTAATTATAAAATTGTTGATACGGTTGGTCTTGGGGACACGGAATTAACTATGCAACAAGTTTTGAACAAATTAGCTGATGCGAGTCATGTTCTTAGAAAGGGATTAAGTCAGGTGCTATTTGTTACCAGCGGTAGATTTACAGAGGAAGAATTAATTGCTTTTGATTTACTAAGGACAGTTCTTTTTGATGAAAATATTGTCAATTACACTACAATAGTGCGAACTAAATTTCCTGGTTTCCGCAAGCCTGAAAAGTGTGAAGAAGATAAAAAACGAATGGAAAATGATAAAAGAACTGAGGTCGTGAAACTATGTAATAAATTCATCCACGTGAATAATTTGTCAGAAGACGAAGATCCGGAGCAAAAAGCTCGAGAGGATTCAAGAATAATTCTAAGAACTCTTTTGAGAACTTGCCAAGATGTATATAAGCCAAAAAATTTGGATGAAATGAACGAGAGGATCAGAGGCTACATGACTGAAAAAGAAAAAATGATAAAAGAAATGGAAGAGTTAAGAAATAAAGGACAATTAAGCGAGGAAGAATTGAGAAAGCATCAGAAAAAAATCGAATCTTTGGAAAAAGAAATCGCCTCAAAGGTGGCTCAACCGGTTCAAGAGAAAAATCCTGGTTTCTTTGAAAAAGTAGGAGCTTGGGTAGGTGAAGGTTTTACTTTGGCCGGTGAAGGAATAGATAAAGTATTAGAAAACCTTTTAATTCAACCTATCAAAAGGTGTAAAATAATGTAAAAAGTCTAACAACTTTCGAGGTTTGTTTAAATACAAGATCATTAAAAGAGAGCTAAGCATTCTCCTCTAAATACTACCACCTTTAAAAAACCTAAAACAAAGCAACTTGAAATTAATTAGTTTCTAATGCTTTTTCTAATTAACAATTCACACTTCTTAAATAAAGGTCAGCAAATATTCCGGTCAATGCTCCTACTCCTAAACCTAGTTATTTTTATTTTATATTCTTTTTTTTAGTGTAGCATTATTATTTTATAATATAGTTTTATATCAGTAAAAACTTATTTTTCAAATTTAAGAAAAACAAGAATAGTAATCAATTTAATATAAAATCCTTTAGTATACTGGAAGCATTTAACTTTCATAGACTGACAATCATTTTGAAAAAGATCAGAATGATTCCTTTCTTTTAGCTGGGTTTAAGTTTAGAGTATAATGTTATTTTTACCAATCCTAACTTCTTATATAATTTGCTAAATTATATATAGTGTTCCGCACAAATCAATTCGTAACATGATGTGATCTTGATTGCTCCCGAATAATAAAAACGAATTTTGCGAATAACTTTTGATCTAGCGGTCTGATTTTGACGATCTTTTTTTTTTATTTTGATCAGGGCAACGAGACAAAAAAAAGATCATCGAAATTGGATTACTAGATCCCAAAATTTCAAAATCCTATAACCATATTATTTCTAACATTCATTATCTTGGCATTCATTATCCTAAAACTATCCTTTTAGCAATTATAATATAATATTATACAGTTCCTAGTGAAAATAATGGCAGTAAGAATACTGCTTCTTAATTTGATCATAACGCTATTACTATCCCAATTAGATCATTACTTATTATACCAAATTAAACAGTAAAATGATCATTTAAAAAGTAACAAAAAAAAGTAATTTCAAATACTAACATTATTTTTGTTTTATTGCTCAAAATGGCTTTTATTACAATTAAATTTATTTATAAAGCTGCTAACTTTTTCTTGAAATAAATTTTAGGTAATTTTTAATTGAACTGGAAATTTTTTGCATTTTTATAAACAATGCACCTTTCTCTTTAAAAACATAGTAAAATTTTAAATATTTGTTATTTTAAATGTCATGAGCTATTTCTTAAAAAAAATACTGCCAAAATTAAAGTGATGATCATTTTATATATTTTAATTTTTATGGAAAACTTTGCATTCTTAATTAACCAAATAATTTTCTAGATTATTAATGAATTTTATATTATAATAAATATATAAACTTCCATAATGCTTGATATAGTATGAGTATTTATTTTCCAATAGTTTACTAATAATGAATTTTTCTTAGCTATTCAAAGTCTAGATTTCAAGTTCTGATAAGAAATTTAGATTTTTTTTTTGAAGCAATATATTAAAAAAATGATAACACAAAAAAAAAGAAAAAAAAAATTTTGGGTTATTTTTTAATTTATTTAGAAAGAAATGAAATAATCTTGAAAATAGCATAGTTATTAATAGCAAAGTTATTTGCAATAATAAATTAATAGTATATAAAGTCAAGTTAAAGCATATATTAATGCAAATGAAAGTCAAATCAAATATTAATTAAATAATAAAATATATGCATTTTTAACTTCTCTTTCCAAAAATAAAAAAAATTCATAGCTTTATTATAAAATTTACATTAAAAAACTGAATACCATTACTTATGCTAAGGTCTGTAATACTAATAAATATTTTATTAAAACCTTTAATCAGTATATTAAAAAAAAATATGCCTTTATAATGCAATAATTTGAATTTTTATTATTTTATTTAATTTAAAAGTAATTTTTTTAAAAAAAATTATAATTTTAATATTAAAATAAATAAAACTTATAAAAATTTGTAAAATTATACTCTTTTAAAAAAAAAAAAAAAAATTAATATTCATAACTACTTAATAGTAAAAAAACAAAATAGAAATAATCTATTTTACTAGTATTATAAAAAAGAAATTAAAAAATTGCAAAGATAAAATAACAACAGTTTTATTTAATGATTTGCATTACTTTATATTAAAAAATTTAAACTAATAATATTAAAGTTGCAAAAATTATTGTTCAAATTAAGTATCAAGTTCAAAAAAATAGCAATAAATTTATGTAAATTATATAAAACAATATTATCAATATTTTAGAAGAAATTAATTTATCCTTATATACTATTTTTATATAAAAATAAATCATATTATAAGAATAAATAATCCATCAAAACTACTAAATTTTAATAAAATTAATTATTTTACATAATTTATTTATATGTTTTATATATAGTTATATCTGTTATAACTATAAAAAAAATTTATTCCAAATGTATAATTAAGTTATATTATAATAGAATTCTAAACTTTTTACTTTATATATAGTATATATTTAAAAATAAAACTCAATATAAATAAACTTTATTAATTTTTTAAAAAAGTAAAAAAAGTAAATGAAATGTATAATACTATTAAAAGAAAAAGTATATATATTTATTATTAATAATAAAATTCTTAGAATTTTGTAATTTAACGCCATAGTGCTGATATAATATTACATGACTTACACATGACCCTGACAAAAAATTTTTACTTAAAAATATTGACATTATAACAAATTTATTAAATGCTATTTAAGCTTTACAATTTTTTTGGTAATAACCAACATTACCATATTTCTTATAATGTTTTTGTTATTTTTCTTTATTTTTGTTTTCATGAGATGATTTGAATCATTTGGTACCTAACGAATGACCTTTTTCATGCCTTTTTATAGGATTTTGAAGTGCAACAACATGGTTTTCTTTATCACTTTTATTATCATCAGACTGTTCAGATTCACTTGTTTATTAATGTTTTCATTAAAATTTGTAACAATCCTTTTATTTGTTGAGATTTTGTCTTGCTTTGAAGAACCTTTTGAAGAGCTTTTTTATAGCATACCAGGCTTTCTGATTTTCGAATAATCACATGATGATTGGCAAATGTGATTTTTACTTTATTAACAATAAAATTTAAGTAAATCATCAAGTTTTCAAGTAATTTTAAATGAAATAATACTGACATAATCGTTTGTTATATAAATATGTATTTTATTGGCTGGATATCAAATGTATTGGTATATGATAATTGTACTAATTTATTTTAATTATGCCACAAAAAATTTAATAGCAAAGGATGATAAAATAAATTAATTCTTCAGATCATGTTTAAACATATTACAAAGAAATCTGGCTATTAGAGACAAAATCCAGAAGTTATAAATACTTGAAAACTTCTTATAAAACGAAAATAAGCATAGTATATTTTCTTTTAAGCTGAAGAAACAAAGAAATATGAGATCTATTTACAACAATGGAAACAGACATATTTAAAGGTTTGTTTTTACTTAAGCCTTTTAATCTACTATTGTTTATTGAAATTTATGACGAAAGAACCCTTTTGAAGAAACTCTTTTCTTTGTATATTTAACAACTTCTTAAAAAACAAATTTTTTGGGTTTTATAAAAAATTATTTACATAATTTTTCTCTGTTAGAAACTGGTTTATCTATTATTTTATTTTCTTTGAATAGTGAATGACTCTTGTTTATTCCTTTAAATAAAATACAAAATCTTAAAATAACTTATTAGTAAGAAATTTTATGATGTAATATTAGTGATATAGTATTATTTTCTCAGTGTGTATATTGGCTAAACAAATAATTTTACATTTTAAAAGATTAAATCACACTCTAATTTTGGAATCAAAGATCTTTCCAATTGATTCACTACATATAGAAATGTTAACAATCAAATTCATCATAATTAGAAATAAATGTATTGAACGCATTTATTCATCAACCAATGATTCAACCAAAGTAATTTTTAATTTGTTGGATAGGTCTTGGTCTATTCTTTAAAGTGAATATAAAAACGTCTGCCTAGTTTATATGTAAGTTAAATTATTTGCATTTTTTTTTATAAGAATTATGTTTGATTTTAATTCTACACAGATGATATATATTAAAGTCCTTCATTTTACATCCACATTCAGTAAAATTTTGAATACAAGTATATCAAGTTGCTATTTATTAATTTAGAAAGTTTGAGTTATAATTGTTATAATTATTATGTAGAATTTTGAATTCGCCAAACATTTATATCAAAAAAATGTATTGATCACGTTAAATTACACAGGTCGAAAAGTAAAAAATCAGGCATCAATCAGTCACCAATCGGTCACCAATCAGGTATCTGATTGGTGACTGATTGGTGCCTGATTGGTGACGGTATTTGGCAAAAATGCTAATCAGGCACTGATTGGTGCCTGATTTTTCACTTTTTGACCTGTGTTAATAAGTTGTTACATATAAAAGTTAGCCAATAATAATCTGATTTTAATAAAAATTGATATAATTAAAATTTAATATAGGATATATATATTGATAGAATTTAAGGATATATTAATATGCCAAATTTTTCAAAAAATTAAACAATGTTTCATATCAGAATTGTATATCATGTGATAAAATCAAAAAAATTCGTGTGATAAAATCAAAAGTCTGCTATGCTCTTTTTTATACATTTCATTATTTTTCATGTAACTCCCCATAAATCATTTTTTGTTGAATAATATAATAGGAAGACTTTCTTCAAGAAAATCATAATTATCTTGATCAAATGCACTTAAATAATTAATATGAATTGTTAACTCATCTTGTTCCACATTTTCTTTATAAAATTTATCTGTGCCAATAAAAGGTTCCTTAATACCATCAAGATCCTTAAAGTACTATTGAGAAAGAATAAGACGAATGTGAAACTTTGCATCACTTGTTGCAAGCATTACCTGAAAAAAATGTTTACAAACAATACCTTGTTGAATAGTAAAAAGGCATGTACAGATATGGGAGTTATTTTTTAAAAGTACAACATAATGTTTTACAGTTGTTGAATTGCCTACAATTATAACCCATATCTGTAATAAATTATATAAGCCCACTAAGGAAATGACTTATTTGAGTGTTGTTTACACAATTTCAACTGCGGATATATCATGAATTTCAGCAGGATCATTACCAGAAAAATTCTATTTGAAAAAATTGAAAGAAAAATGAGTTTTTATACCCAAAATCAACCTATCCTAACCCTAATACTGTGCCCTAACCTATTCTAACCCTAATACTATGCCCACAATCTATCCTAACCCTAATCACACGTTCTTAACCTATCTTTACAACCTATCTTTACTCTAATCCCATACCCTTAACTTATCCTTACCCTAATCCCACGCTCTCAACCTATCCTTACCTAATCCCACGCCTAACTTACCTAACTAATCCTACATTTTACTCTAAACCATTTCTTAACTCTTGTTTTAATTACAATACTTACTTCAATAAGTTTTTTTTTGATCATCTTGGATTACAGTTGCAACATAATAAACAGCAGCTTGGTTAATTTCATCATATTGTCTTTGAAGCAATAGGAGTTTTCAAACATTTATATACTTGTTGGAAAAGAAAATTTGCTTTATCTTGATTTTTAATATAAGGAATAACCAACTTCCAAAAAGTGTATTGCTCTCGTTGATCCTGCATATCTAATAGTCGATCATTAAATCACATAATGAATCAGTATTTGAACTATATATAAGATGCTTTAGACAAGCATTAACAGACTCTACTCGAGAGCTTGCAATCATTCCTCCTGTAAATTTAAAACTTATATGGCAATGGGCCCATAAATCTACTTTCAAATATTTCACTTGCGAGACTATATGTAAAATGCTTCAAGAAACTTTTGGTAGTCATTTTTAAGAGTCTTGCGCAAGTTTTTATGATTTTAGGTGATATGTATGTGAAAATATTTGTACAGCTGCATCAACTGCGGGATCTGCATCAGTACTACAGGTTCTCTATTCGTTTGCCTTCAATATTTCTGAAAACATCCAAGCATGTGATGATAAACTTTCATTAGAAAGTACGGTTTACACGATATTTATTTATACGAAACCCATTTTTCTTGGACCATTTATCAAGAAACAAATCACATTCTTCCCAAGTTGAAAAAATTTTTCCACTAAATATTTCAGAACTTGCTATCTCATTGGATGAATAGGTATATTGTTCATTATTATTGTTCACTATTAAAACCCTCTTCAAGTATATTGTAATAAAAGAAAAATTAAATGTGTATTTTGATTTGGAAAAAATTTATTATGTCATGATTATGCAAAACACGTGATAGATATGTGTACAAGCTATAGCTCCAAATAAATTTAAAAATTAATCATCAAAACATTTTAATTAAAACGAACAAGATTTTAAAAAATATTCGCTAAATAAATACTTATTTGTACTTATTTTCACTTAAATTAATGTATTATCCTTTACATGAGTCTTTTATACAATTAGCCACATCTCTTTGTTCAAAATGCCACGTTTCCTCGTCTCCAGCCAGAATCATACATGAATCGGTTGATCGATACCCAAAATATCGATTTCTTGGAGGATGTGTTTGTGGATATAGATGAACACAGTATAAGTCTGGGGCTTCTTCCCAATTAAAGAAAACTGTTGGATCAAAAAAAGAGCAGCTCCTCTTTCCCGCATCTCGTATCACTGATCCATTACAATCCGTTACATATACGTGAAATATCCCCACGCAAGGATCACAATTATCTCCATTAGTAATTATTGTAGTGTTATATGCTACACGTTGTTACATAGACGAATTCATTAGATCAGAAAATCAAATATTTGCTACAAATAGTCAAGAATTAAGAACTTACACTGAACCCTAAGATCAAATAAAAAAATGATGAAAATGATGAATATAAGGTTACGAGAGACGCTAGAAGAATCTTGCATGGTGAACATAATAAAGTGTTATTGATCAGAATAAAGATAATTAAGAATTATTGTATTCTATGATGTTTTTATGTTCACTTTTGTTTTGCTTGGTCTTAAGATTGTTTACCTGCTGGCTTTTTTATACTTCTATCGATCCTATAAATTTTTCATATGATTTCTTGGTGTCGATCCTGTAAATTTTCGATTCTTATTTTATAATGAATTTTTCGATTCTTATATTATAATGAATTGTGCATCTCGGATGAACTTTTTTTTCGGAATTGCTAATTTCAAGAACTTTAATAAAATGAATGTCTTGTGAAAATGACTGTGAAAATGTCCATTTTTTAAATCGAATTTCTATATTTTTTTCTTTTTTGTGAACAGTCCACTTCTTTTTTTCGGAATTGCTAGTTTCAAGAACTTGAATTGCGCTATTTTAGTATGAATGTCTTGTGAAAATGACTGTGAAAATGTCCATTTTTTAAATCGAAATTTCAAATATTTATTTCTTTTTTGTGAACTGTCCATCTCATGAACTTCTTTTTTTTTTAAATTGCTTAATTTCAGGAACTTTAGTCATTTGTTGGTTTTATTTTCGTCCATAATTTCAGGCACAGTTGGTAATCAATTTTTAATTTGATTTTTTTACATTACCCTGAATTTAGGGTTGGGAATTGTATTGTACTGTACTGAAACTTTTTTACAGTACATTTTTATATATTATATAATATGCAGTATATTTACTTATATGAATATTATATTATGATAACTGAATCAAACAAAAAAAAACACTGTACGAATAAAAAAAACACTGTACGAATGTACGAAAATTGTACCAAAGTACACTCTTTCGTAAACTTCTTAAATCATGATCGCTTTTATAGGCGCAAAGCGGGTCTGGTACAAAATCCCGAATGTCGACGGATCTCCTTTTAATTTTATTTTAGCTCGGGTAAAAAATGTGCTACGTCCGGAGTCCGGAATGAGATAAAAATTTATTTCTGGGAAAAAGCGAGCGTGCATCATTACACGTGACCGCTCTCTTGTACGTTCGATAAAATAATAATACTTTATTTATGAAATAAATTGTTGCCGGAACTCGGCTTACAAATAAATAATATAAAATAAATTTGCGAATACATCGCTATTACATAATACAGAAAATTATTCCGCTGGGTATACAATGATATGGAAATGCTCTGCTTTAGGTTCCTCAGTAAAAATATTGGAAATAGTGTCGTCAAGTCCATTAGCTTTTCAATAACGCTTCCAGCTTGATTATAACTATAACCTTCATTTTTGCGAATTGTAATCGCTTGCATTCTTTAATGCAAGGAATATTCATGAGTTTCCTATAAGAACACATATAGTTTCCTAAATACAAGACTCATAGTGAGAAAAACTCACTCTCATATATACACAACTTCTGACATACATATACCTTATTTTTCACGGGAATGATTTTGCGGAAACGTTGGCTGAACTTCCACATACTCCAACATGCTTTATATATTGCTGGAAAAAGAAAAGGAGGTATGAGATGTGATTAGTATTTCATATGATGCCAAGAGTTCTAATGAGACCTTTATACCTTTCACATGTTAGATCTACTCGCAAGACGCAAAGATTCTGTAGATCTTGAAATTGCGAAGTCCTCAGCCCTTCATAACATATGATTATTTAGAAAACATGTCATGTATAGAGGCCTATGTATGTACGTATAGTGGTCAATGTATGGATTATATAGAAAACATGTCATGTATAGAGGCCTATGTATGTAACGTATAGTGGTCAATGTATGGCAACGTCCGGTATACATCACCCTACAGTATACATCACCCCACCCTACAGTATGGTAAAAATGACCATACGTACCGTACGTTGATCACTATACAGACATACATAGGCCTCTATACATGACATGTTTCCGTCGTACCCTCTTGGGGTCGATTATTTCTAGATTTTTTAGCCATTACTAGCTATTCAATTATTCTATTTTTTTTTCCGAATGAATATTAGAAGTATGGGACATTTCGTCTATATCACTTTTTAACATTTTTTCTAAATCGGCTTCGGGTGTTATAACATCATATAGATAATAGATTTCTCAGGCAATACTTTTAAGATTTTGATATATCATATCACATTCCAACGCTATAATGGACTCTTTGATATTCACAAGTGTATATCTTTTCTTTTTCCAAATCTGTATGATATTTTTAGAAGGCAGTTTTCTATATCCAGAAAAAATAACTGAATATTTATTGAGAATCTATAATATTTATGTTGGCATCTCCTTCCTACTTACATATATGTGCTGTTCATTAGTCTAGCTTATGGTGGTAGGCTAGATAAAATCTTGCTCTTCTCTAAATAAAATCCCCTGGAATCCTCTTGATGAGCTGAATCCAACCATGTAAAGATCATAAAAATTGAATCACTGGATGCAGAGTTTGTTAACTTTGAATTTTAATATTATTATTTACTATAAAATCATATGACTATGACGTAATTTTGACTATTTTGACTTTTGGAGGGGCCCAAGTTGAAATCATTTTGACCATTTTGACCATTTCAGAGGTTAAAATTAACCAATTTCAGTTTCATGTATAATCTGGTTGAAAGTATTTAATCAAGTAATACTGATTCTGTTAGAAAATAGAATGGTGGGATAATCAGGATAGATTAATTTATAGGAATAACACCATGATGTAATGAGTTTTGTAGATACTTTATATAAAAAGAGAGTATAATTCTATTCTTTGAGCAAAATTTATTTATCTAATAGTGCACACTGTACAAAAATCCTGAATAATACTAATATAATTTACAAATAAACTTTAAATACCAAAATAAAAATAAATTTTATGATATAATCCTATCAATATTAAAGCTAAAAATGCAATTTTACTATCATTAGAATTCTTTCATTAAGATGAATCTAATAATATAAATTTTATTAAAATTAAATTACTGATTATATTAAAAATAGGAGTATACAGGACAAAAATTTTGAAAACATTATTGTAATATGTAACTTTTGAAAAATTTTAATATAAACTTTAAGTATAAGTTGTATTAGTATTATTTAATAAGGTTTTACTATACAAGTGAATTAATTTAACACTTTTATATATGGGCGAACCCACAGCAAAAGGTGGGGCTCGGACATTCACGTGATTTTGAGAAAATTGCAATTAAAGTTTTTACGTAATTTTCATGTGATTTACTGCGAAGTTCTTAATATTGACTTTTATAATAAAAGAAAAATTTTTACAGGCAATATTTTGAATATATTAGCTTCCATTTAACACCTTGTTTTATTTGTATTATTGAATATATGAGAGCATAACCTTTATACAAGTTTAAGAAAAAACATAACAAATTTATTTATTTCGAAACATTACTTTTCAAATCAATGAAATTGTAAATTTTTTATTGTTACAATTATAAACTATGTTTATATGTAAAAAATATAAGTTTTATAGCGTAAAAATCATAAAAAATGTAAGTTTTATAATGTAAAAAATGAGTAATAATGAAGTTTTTGTCTTATATACGAAAAAATAAAATTTATTTTCACTCATTTTGAAGTTCAGGTTTAGGACAAGTAATTTCACGAAAGGGTACATCAACATAAGGCGCAATTTCTTTATATAATTCTTCTTGTCTTTTTAAGGAAAGGGGTCTAGAAGCAATTATAGGTGGTAAAATGTTGATGGCATAAGAAAAAGTACGAATTGTAGTTTTTTCATAAACATCTTCAAGTTTATCTTTATAAAAGACAACTCCAGGGTGTTGTGAAGAAAAATAAAAATGATGATATTTTTGAATGTTAGGTAATTTTTTAAACATTTGAAAATGACTCTTAAAATCGTAATATTGAAACCCTTTTCCATTTAAATAACGCTGAGCAATATTGAAATTATTTGTAGTGGAACGGTTGATAATTGAAACAACATCATCCACTGTATTCACTATACTTTTTCGATAGAGTATCTTAATTAGACCAAAACAACCATCACAAATAAATTTTGTGTGTCCGGGTATCATAAAATTTAATTCTATTTCGTCATATATACCACGATCAATTAACCATGAATAAAAAAATAAGGTGAAGTTATTTTTATTTTGCCCTACACAATTATCACATGCAACAATTAATTTTTTTTCTCCACGATTATATTTTTGAATTGCATGTAAAACCAAACTTAATGTACAATTTGCACCCTTTCCTTGTTTGCCGTCATCAGCCATTTCACCCTCATCAATAACATAATTAATCTGTTGTGTATTAGGATAGTTGCCGGTATTACAAACACCAAATAAATGCACTTTTCGTGGACTTTTGAAAAACAAGGATCCTACCTGTTGTGGTGAGTGGGGGATTTGTACATTTTGCGCCCAGTCATATGCAATGTGAGCACTTCCCTCAAAAGTTTTGAATAATATTTGAGATCCGGATGGATTAGAATTATTTCGGCCATCTTCAATTGCAAGTGCAATATTTGAATTATAATAATCTCGCTCTTGTTGTGCACGTTTTAAATGGGCCAGGTAATTTTCTGTAGATTCCAATTTTTTCTCATGTTGTATAATATACCGAATGTCCATCTTCATTAACTCACAATTTTCACACAAATCCGATTTTGGAGACATAAATTGGAGCGATTGCATTAAAGATTTCCAAATATTAATAAAAGTTTGTTTGACCATAACACGAGTTTCTGCTCCATACTTATCCTTGTAAGCATTTACATAGTCACGGTATACTGAAGAATAGCTGTAACTTGTTGGAAGAAATACGACCGGTATAGTATTTTCACTGCAATGTCACCCGGGCGAAGGTATACCATGTACATTTGAATAGTTTTTTAAAAATACTTGTACGTCGTTTGCTACATCATAATTAACTTCTATACGTTTCATATTTTTAGGAGCTCTACCAGTATTTCCATGTACACGTTCTTCAATACCATGTTCTCGTAAATGTTGTATAATTGTATCTAAATATTTATGACTAGCTCCAATAAGATTTTCATACGTTGTATGACAAATTAAAAGATCATTATTATAACAATAATTAAAGCGCACAAATTTTCTATCATTACTATTAACTTTTCGTGTATTTTCATCCTTTTGAAAGGCCATAAGCTGTCCTTTAACAACCATATCTCGCATTGTTTTGTCCAAGCTTTCAAATTCAATTCGACGTGCAAGAAAACGTTCATAGCCAATTTTCATAAAACAAGGTTGATCAGAAGAACGGCATGAACACTTTTTTTTTAAAAAAAATTCATCAACTTTTAATTTCAAGCGTTTATAAACCTCATCTTCAATATAACTATCGGGATTTTCTTTAAATTCAAAATTATCTAAATGAATATTAGCTACTTTTAACGATAAATCTATTAATTCGGTATCATCATCATCATCATTTGGTATAAAACTAGGCTCTTTTTCATCTTCAGAGTATGAATATTCGGTAAAAAATGTATTATCTAGATCTTCTAAAGCAGTTAAAATAGTTTTATTTGCATCATCTTTAATAGAACTAATACCATACTCCATATTTTTATTAAAAAGCAATTTTACGATATTTACGATATTTACGAAATAATGCAGTAGAAAAAAAATCGAATTGCAAATTATTTTACTAAATATATCTTAATGGAAAAAAATACCCCCATAAAGTTAAGACCAATAAGCATCTGATTTTCAAAAAATCTCAAAATCACGTGATTTGTCCGAGCCCCACCTTTTGCTGTGGGTTCGCCCATATACTGTCTATAATAATAAATTACTGGATTTAATAAAATTTGCATAGTAATTTTTACATTACATATAAGTTTATGAATTTTTAATAAAATTCAACCAGAATTTTTTATTTGAAAGCTGATTATAGATAGTTTTTATATATCAAAATAAATAAGAAGAAAAATTATAAATGTAAAAAAATTTTCTCATTGCAAAATAACATAAAAAATTATAAAAATTTTTACTTATTTTCAGTAAAAGATCAACTTTTTAAAATTTTATAAAATTTTCTTTATTTTTTAATACATGAAAGTTACAATTGATTGACTTTCAAACAAAAAAAATTTGACTGAATTTTATAGAGAATTCATTAAGTTTCATATAGTCTAAAATTTGCATAGGTTGAAAAGTGAAAAATCAGGTATCAATCAGTCACCAATCGGTCATCAATCAGGTAGCTGATTGGTAACTAATATTGGTGCCTGATTTTCTGATTTTTCACTTTTTGACCTGTGTTGTCAATTATTGTTAATTTTACTATGTAATTACAAATTTCTATAAGATTTACTANTTCTAGGATTAATACTTAATGAGAAATTAAGTAAAATATAAAAATAAAAATATATCATTTATATTTTATTTAATTTTTTATTAACTATTAATCCTAAAAATGTGATTTACTACCATTAGATTCATCTTATTGAGATGATTTCAATGAGCTATATTTCATTTTTTTCTGATCATTGGATCAAAAGTTAGCAAACTGCCTGATTGGTAACAGTATTTGGCAAAAATGCCAATCAGTCACCAATCAGTCACCAATCAGCTATCTGATTGGTAACTAATATTGGTGCCTGATTTTCTGATTTTTCACTTTTTGACCTGTGTTGTCAATTATTGTTAATTTTACTATGTAATTACAAATTTCTATAAGATTTACTAGTAAAATTGTTAATTTTTGGACTATATGAAACTTTATGAATTCTTAATAAAATTTAGTCAAAATTTTTTTATTTGAAAGCCAATTAATTGTAGCTTTTATGTATTAAAAAATAAAGAAAATTTTCTAAAATTTTGAAGAGTTGACCATTGCTGAAAATAAATGAGAATTTCATAATTTTTTATATTATTTTGCAATGAAAAATATTTTAGATTTATAATTGATTATATTTATTTATTTCAATGCATAAAAACTATTTATAATAAATAAAAAAATTCTGTCTGAATTTTATTAAAAATTCGTGTACTTATATGTAATGTGAAAATTACTATGCAAATTTTGTTAAATCTGGTAATTTATTGTAGGGCAGTATATTTAAATTAAAACTTAATTTTAATAAACTTTCAAATGCACTGTAATTAATAAAAAAAATATTTTTTTTATATATAAATAATCTGTTTGAAAATTATAGGATGTAAATATTCAAATTTAATTCAGATTATAGATATATCTGAATTGAGCAAAAATAGAATTAGATCACTAGTTATAATCAGATCTCTAATCGTAAGTAATTAAGTTTTATAATCAAATTATCATATAAAACAATCAATAAACTTTTATAATAAATTATTTTTTTTATAATCTGCTTTTTTAATTGATTTTTTTATTAACCTATTTTCTTTTATTTATTTTTATTTTTATAACACATTTTATATAATAAGCACAGAATATATTAATGAAAATTCTACTTTTAATAATAAGAAAAATGAAATTCATATTATATTAAATGTAATTTGTAAATAATATAAAAAAATTTAAAATTTATCTAAAATAATATATACTGTATTACAAAAAGATTTTTTTATAAAAAACAAGAATTAAATATATAATTTAAAATCAAATAAAAAGTTTAAGGGCAGTAAGCCAGTAACATTTATTATATAGTAATATTTATTTATTATAAGAGTATTATAAGTTTTAATTCTTTTTACTTTTATATAATATATAAAATCTTATATTATACATTTACATTATATGTATTAAAACTTTCTTTTACTTACTTATCTTAACTTCAAATATTCAAATAACTACTTTTTTAACATTAATTTACTATGCTACACTCCCTTATTTTAACCTTAAATAACTCCTTTTTCAATATTATTTATTATACTACATTTCCTTATTCTAATCCTAAATAACTTCTTTTTCAACATTATTTATTATACTATACTTCCTTATCTTAACCCTAAATAACTCCTTTTTCAATATTATTCACTATGCTACACTTAAAATTACTGAGGGTTTTGGTAAATTGGTAAAATGCCAAAATAACAAAACTTTGCCAAAACTATATGAAAGTCTTATTAAAAAGTTGGAGAAAAGCAAAACTTAATGAAACTACTAAAACCAGTTAATTTTAAACCAAATTTAAAACTAAATAGTATATCTGGTTTCAAATAAAAAAAAATGTCTAATTAAATTTATGGTTCAATTTCATGTTTGATAAGGATCACTTTAATATATATATTAAACACTTTTCCTATTGTTAATTATAAAATATTTTTTGTTTAAAACACCTTTACATCAAAATAATTGGTATAACAATGTTAAATGCAGCCAAAAACGGGATATGAAAGTATATAAAATGGGTTATACTCTTTTCGTAAACATATTTTAAAATTTAAAAAGCTAAAAAAACAAATTATTAAAGGATAACAAGTGGTATTGCAGTATTCACTAGGAAACGGAAAAACAGAGACCGTCATTAAGTCCGAGGTACCATTTAAAGTCTATTGTTGTACTACATATATGAATAATAGTCTTGTTGAAATGATTGATCTATCTATATGTCGAGAAGATCGAACTTTGATCTTCTTTACATTGTGTTATTACATTAATTGTAACTAATTAGTCATCACTTTGTGTTTTAAAACAATTTTCATTAATTATGCATTGGCTATTAATATCATCCTTCCTACTAACTTTGGATGATCTCGCAAATGAGTTTTCTTGTAATAAACGTTATTGTAAGAAATTTGTAAAAACAGTCACAATTATGAGTTTTATAATAACGCGTTTATTAAAAATAATTTCTTCACCAACTATGTTAACAAATAATTACATCATAAAACAACGAACGATGTGAAAAAAGATACATACTGAGAGGATAATTAATTGATATATATAAATTTATAGAAATTTCATTAATGATAAAAATGGGTTGTTTACATTTTGACCAGAATTATCATCATATTAAGTTAATTAATTTCAATTACTAATTTACCGAATTGCTTCCCTTTACTAAATTATTTAGTAAAACAAATGAATTAGTTATTTTATGATAATTAAATAGAAAAAAAATTACCTACTTCATGATTTCAAAAACTTCTGGAGCGTTTTCAAGTCCATGCCAAATGCCACCTATAACGGGCTTAATTTTCTTTTCTTTAACAAAATTTACCATTCTTTTAAATTCATCTCTGCTACCCATGGTGGATCCTTTAAGTTCGATATTATCCATCATTGCAGGTACTGTGAATGTCGTGGATGGATATGATGCCTTTCCATAACTTGATGTCATGCCATAACAAGCAATGATACCTACGTAAATTAACGTTAATAGTTATTCTCTAGAAATGGAATAATAGAGAATAAATATTTTATTGTACCTCCTGGACGTAAAAGCTTCGTAGTTTGAGAAACAATTTCACCTCCTGCACTATCAATTACGGAATCTAAGAACGGACGATCATTAGGCAAGAGAGCTTTTAACTTCTTTGGCCAATCATCTGAGATGAACGTGAATTTCAAATATTAGACGGAATCAAAATATATTAAAAAAATAGTAAGTATGATAAAAGTAGTATCAAACCTTCTTTATAATTTACTCCTCCTTTCGCTCCTAATTCTATGGCTTTTTTTAATTTTGGACTCATCTGAAGATGTAACATACGCGTTTGCACCAATACTTGAAATAAAGCTTAGCGCAATCAAAGCGACACCACCTCCAATTCCTGTGATTAATACGTTTTCTCCCGGTTGAACATTTGCTTTTGTAAAGGTTGCTCTATTTCAATCCCGTATAATCAATTCCCGCGGCGCAGCATTGAAAATCATGATATTCACATGACTAACTCACCTGAACGCTGTTAAACCAGCTAATGGAAGAGCAGCCGCTTCTGCTACGGATAAATGATCGGGAACAGGGAATATTTCGGCTCGGGAACGACAATATATTCAGCAAGAGTCCCTTTGAAACCCAAATTATGGTTGGTAAAGCAAGCAGATAAAATAACATCAAAGTTTCATTTTACCAGGTAGTGGCAACAATCCAAGAATTCCAAATTCGGTTTCAGGGCCTTTTGGATCTTTTTCCCAGCCAGATCCTGGATTAATGATTACTTGCTGACCAACAAGGTGAGAAGATTCATCGCGTGATGTTTTTTCCACTATTCCAACACCATCACTTCCAAGTACAGAATTAAATTGCAATCCTAAATATGCATCTTTTCTTATCCAGACATCACTTATAAAAGCATGATTAACTCGTAATTAATATATATGATATACTGTATTTATAATGATTGTTCTATTCTTACCGATGGTTAAATGCTGCTGCTTGTAACCTGATTAACACATCATCATTATCGGGGTTTAGAGCGGGAAGAGGAATTTCGCTAACAACTGCTGGGTGCTTAAAATTATTATTTTCTTTTTCATCACCTTTTCGTAAAATGAGAGCCTTCATTTTTCAAAATTATAAGGTATAAAGTTGGATCGTGTGCGAATTTAAAAGAATTTTCCTGACGTACTATTCCTTTTTCATTTTTTTTCTGATTAATATTAATGTGATTAGTAATGGGTTTCCCTAAAATAAATTTTTACAAAACATTTTATCACATTGAATTTCTTCACGAAATTACGGATTATTTAGCCAAATTTATACTAGTAAATACAGTAGGCAAGTACGTGCAATCTTAGGTGAATGTCGTGCTCATCGTTGATGTAATGCGGGATTGATCTAAACTATTAAGTAGTTGACAATCGTGCGATCTTAGACTTTATCGGTATTATGTATTTGCAACTGGTATGAAAAAAAGTATCAAAAAGTATAAAATCCATCGGTGTGTACGTCATACACAATGAAATAAGCCTGTTATTCCATGGATATCTAATAAATACTCCTCCATATACATCTATGCTCCCCCTTTTTCGGGGGGGCAATGTACCGGTGAATATTTCAGTTATTCATTAATACACATTTTTATCCAATAATTATAGTCCAGTGATTTATTTACCGATATAGCATCCGCTTTATATAATGTTATATAATGTCTACGTTTAGTTATCTTTTGGATAAGCTATTGTACGTTGGGAAATTGGAAGATTTAAACCCATCTTATTGCAAGACAATCTCACATTAAGATTTATATGTCACATTTATTAAAAAATAATCTGATGAATAATTTTCATATACTGATTGTTTATAACAAGTAATTGTATAAAATACACTTGATATTCAAAGCTTTGGTGATATATTTTCAATTACTAATTTACCGAATTGCTTCCCTTTACTAAATTATTTAAAAAACATAAGAATTAGTTATTATTAAAGAAATATATAAAATAAAATAAAAAAATAAATAACTAACTTCATGATTTCAAAAATTTCTGGAGCGTTTTCGAGTCCATGCCAAATACCACCTATCACAGGTTTAATTTTTTTTTCTTTAACAAAATTTAACATTCTCTTAAATTCTTCTCTACTACCCATAGTGGATCCTCTAAATTCGATGTTTTTGAGCACTGCAAGCATTGGAAATGATACAGAAGGATGTGATGTCATGCCATAACAAGTAATGTTACCTACATAAATTAATGTAATGGTTATTTCCTAGTGATGGAATAATGGATAAATAAATTCTAATGTACCTCCGGGACGTAAAAGCTTCGTTGTTTGAGAAACAATTTCACCTCCTGCACTATCAATTACGGAATCTAAGAACGGACGATCATTAGGCAAGAGAGCTTTTAGCTTCTTTGGCCAATCATCTGAGATGAACATAAATTTCAATTATTGGATGGAATCAGAATATATTAGAAAAAAGATAGAAATGTATAATAAAAATTAAAAGAAAAATATCAACCTTCTTTATAATTCACTCCTCCTTTTGCTCCTATTTCTATAGCTTTTTTAATCTTGGACTCATCTGAAGATGTAACATACGCGTTTGCACCGATACTTGAAACAAAGCTTAATGCAATCAAAGCGACACCACCTCCAATTCCTGTGATTAATATGTTGTCTCCCGGTTTAACATTGGCCTTTGTAAAGGCTACTCTATTTGAAACAATTATGTAGTAGTTATTCGTATATTCAATACCCACGGCGCAGCATTGAAGCATTGAAAATCGTGATATTCACATGATTAACCCTCAAGAAATAAATTTACCTGAATGCTGTTAAACCAGCTAATGGAAGAGCAGCCGCTTCTGCTACAGATAAATGATCAGGAACAGGAAATATTTCAGCTCGAGGAACAACAATATATTCAGCAAAAGTTCCTTTGAAACACAAATTATGATTAGTTTGATTATTTAAAGCAAGCGATAAAATAATATATCAAATTTTCATTTTACCAGGTAGTGGTAACAATCCAAGCATTCTATATTCGTTTTCGGGACCTATTGGATCTTTTTCCCAGCCAGATCCTGGATTAATGATTACTTGTTGGCCAACAAGGTGAGAAGATTCATTGCGTGATGTTTCTTGCACTATTCCAACACCATCACTCCCAAGTACAGAATTAAATTGCAATCCTGAATATAATCCTTTTCTTATCCAGACATCACTAATAAAAATTATCAATTCGGATTTAATATTATTATACAACTATGATGTGAACCAATTTTTTGTAAATTCTTACCGATGGTTAAATGATACAGCTTGTAATCTGATTAACACATCATCATTTTCGGGGTTCAGAGCGGGAAGAGGAATTTCGCTAAGAACTGCTTGATGTTTAAAGTTATTATTCTCTTTTTCATCACCTTTTTGTAAAATGAGAGCCTTCATTTTCAATAATTATAAGTTGAATGTTGGTGTTTAAAAGAATTTTTTCTAGCGCGTCATAGCTCCCTTTTTGATAACGCACTTTTTTATATTAATAATAGACGTTGGCAATGCGGCTTTGATTAATAACAAACAATTGATAATGCTTCTTAAAGTTAACTCACCTTTTTGTTTAGAAAAATAATTGTATTGATTGTGTGAAGTTGGTTGAGACTCGCGAAATCATGATTCTCTAGCCAAATTTATACTAGTGTATCTACTCAGAAAATATAGATACATGTGATTTGAGCATTTTAAAAAATATTCAAGCCTTGTCCATAAAAACATGAACTGAAAATACTTGAGTTATTGTGCCACCGTTAACGCAACGCGTTCATGATTAACTAGGATTAACTAAGCACAAAATTACATTCTTGTTACATTACAACGTGTTATAATACGGGTTTGTTTAATTTTTAATTATTAAAAAAAAGTTTATTATGGTTAAATACTTCGTTATCTTTGGACGTATGAATAATATAATATTAGTTGTAATATGAATTTTGCGAATCAAAATGATTAACGTTAAGTATTTAACAACTTTTATTAATGTTTATTTATTACACGGAAATAAGTTATATAAAATCGCGTTTATACGAACAATTTATATAAAATTTTTAATTTTTATGATAAATAACTGTACCGATATTCAGAGCTTTAGTAATTTATTTTTCAATTCCTTTCTTTAACAAGATTTAACAAATTCTTCCCTGCTATTCATAGTTTATTCTTTAGCTGTTAAGTTAACACTATTTTTGTAAATCAAAAATGTTAAAGATATAGATGATTTTATTCCATAACTACAAATAATAAACATCTTTATATATATAGGATCGCACTTAGATTCAATTGCTTTTTATTAATTTTGGATTCATTGAAGATGTAACATATAGTACTATTTAAAAGTAATACAATACTTAATACTATTAATCTTATTATAAACCAGCTATGGAAGACAATCGCTTCCACTATATATTCATTTAATATTTTAATCCTTCAAAAACGTAAGAATTTTTCATTTCATTTTTTATAACAATGTCGCCGATTATTCATTAGTCACGTATAATTTTGATTTTTTGGCCAAACAAGCGCTTGATAATTCGGGCAAAGATTAACAAGTTACGTGAAATGAATTTAGATGTAATCTACCGCTAATCCCCGAAAATTTTATGGCGATCGCCGTGTGAGAATTGATAGATAAACCTATATTTTTAATTCACTTATTTACAACGGGAAATAATGTATGTTTTTCATCTTTTGAATCCTTAAATTTCTCTATTATTTTATTATATTACAAACGCCCATAATAAAAAATTAAAGCAGAGAGGCAAGCAATTAAATCACCAATCTATATGTAATCTATATTCAAAAGTTCAAAGCCTTATTTCCCTTTTTTGGAATACGTATAAAAGTGAGGGATGATAAAAAAAAGTGGATAAGACATAACACGAAATAAAGGTGGCGCTAACATATATATTCTATAAAGTATTAATTTAAATTAAAATAAACAAGTTATATTTAAGATAAAATTTCTTATCAGTTATTTATCAGTTATTACATAGTTTAAGTAATTTTTTTCAAACTTAAAAAATAATATTTCTAAATAGCAAATTTTGTGCTCTAATTAAAATATTATACAACCCTAGCCAATGTTCACAATTTTTTAATTTTTTTAAAAGAGATTCGAAAGATTAATCGTAAAAATCTATAATAAGGTGGTTAATCTCTTTGTACACCACCGTCTCGTACATAACCTTCTTCGTGACGCGTTAAATGCATACCGGTGTTTTCATGATTATATTCATGAGATGATTGATCTAACGGTTGTCCATACCCATGACTACTACTACTACTAACATGATGTTGTCCATATCCGCTTTGTGTATGTCCATTTAATTGCGTATTTGTTTGATGAGGATACCACTCAGATCTTTCGAATTCATATTTCACTTGTACAGGATTATGTTCGGATTGACGATGATGCTGAGAAGGTGTTTGATTTTGGGGATGATGAAGTTCTTGTGAATGCTGTTGAAATCCCGAATGATGATAATAGGGATGATGTTGATAAGGTTGATCTGTTGTGACCTGTCTAACAGGACCTGCAGATACATTGGCTGAGACATGAGAGAACTGCGGATGATTTTGAGGTCTATAAGATGATACCTGTTGACCTGCAACGGGAGTAAGTGGCGGTAATAAAGGTGGTTGTTGATGTTGTTGATGTTGATGTTGCTCCGAATGATCGTGCAGCATTTGTTGATGCTGCGATTCCATTCTTTGCATATACATTTGCTATTTTTATTAAATACACATATATTGTTATATTATTTATATTATTTTTGCATGTGAAAATCATTAGAATTTGTTTTTTTTTTAAAAAAAAAAACAAATAAAAATAAAAATGTATGCACTTTACCTGTTGTTGTGCCATAGAATCAACTATTATTTTATGGTCAATAGGAATGCTAGACGACTATATTCGAAAAGGACATGTTCAATTAGTAATGTTTAATTTATGCTCTATTGATGCAAGATTAATTTGTCGATCTCGCGCGACAGACACTCACAGACATTTTTTAAGGGAAAAAAAACATAGGGAATCTTACAGTATTGAATTGATGTCCACCTTGAGGCACTCCCAATCCATAATATGGACTTTGATGATCTGGATATTCAATCTATAAGATGAATTATATTTAGAAATATGAGCCGATCAAAATAATGTTTCACCAAATAATTAGTCACTAACCTTCTCTGTTTTGACTGTGACCTTTTCTTCTCTAGGTACGATATCTATTAAAAAGTCAAACATATCGACTTTTTTTATCGCGTTTGCAATATCCGATCTTTGTAAAGTCCTCCGTTTGCATTCTTCAGCATGAAGCCTGTTATGTAGATAAATTAATGAATAAAAAAAAATAGATAAAAGTATATTCAAACATTATATATTATAAATTCAATTAATTTACCATGCTCGCATAGTTAATTCTGTTATAAATATATCGCAACCTTTTGCAAAAAGAATGGGTGCCTATAAAAACCGAAAATCTTAATATTTTATAATTAAACAAAAGATATCTAGATTATTATATTAATTACCTCAGCACTGATCATCTTTCATTTTGAAAATATCGTGGGGAATCGGAAAGAATAAATTTACATATTTAAATAGCCAGGAATGTAAAAAAATAGTAAAATCAAGAAATTAAAGAAATAGATTGTTAAATTCATGACACAAAGAAAGAGAAAGGAAAAGAATCACGCGTACAAAAAATTTATCTATGATCCGGTGTAACCATATATTACGATCTTCATCAAAATATTGATCAATTCAAATTGTCGAAAAATAAATAAAAATTCTTCTACCTTAACCTCCTCATCAGTTTTCATAACCTTCTTTATCCTAGCTAAGGGAAGTTGATGAACCTTAAAATCATGATCTTCATTTCTGATTTCATGCACTTGTCGTTGCCAAAAGCTATCAAGAACACTATAATGTTGAGGTTGAAATTGATGTTGAGGGTGCAAGGGTGGAGGAGCAGCAGCAAGAGTTTGCGGATCTAATAAAAGATGTGGGACACCTGGCCCACCTATACTAAGTGGTTGGTGTTGTACTGCTCTATGTTGCTGGTTTAAGTGGTGCTGGTGCATAGGTTGCGCGTTAGGATCCGCCATTTTATTATTTCCTTGAAGTCAGAAAAAATAGTCTTACAAGGTACGTACTTAAGGGGGGTAGAAAAATTTAAACAAGTTTCAGGTTTTTTTATATGCGTCTTAATTTTTCCTAATTTTTTTTTTTTTCGGTCTACCGCGCACTGACTGATGTACTACCAGCAAAAATTATTGATACAGTTTAACTTTAAATGGATTAAATGTGTTTCGATAGGGCGTGATGTCTTGAACAATTAGATTTAATTTTAGCTTATATTTCAACCCCCAAAATAATTTTTGTTATAATAGGCACTTGTCCAGGGGTCTCTCACACAAAAAGTAGAAGATTTTTAACCACCACAACCAATCCGATACCTGGTTTTTTATCTATTTATACAATTCCAATTGGAGAGATTGTCGCATTATAACCCAAAAATTGACTGTTGTGCCCTTGTGTTTTGTTTGTTATGTCGGTAATCTGTTGTAATTGTATTAATCTTATATTTTTCCGATTTTTTTAGGAAGAAATGTAATTCATAGGCGGAATTATACAGTATAAGAAAACTCTCACGGTTCGTTCCGATTTTACAGCAAATTTTTTTTTATTTTTTTTTTTTTTTTTTTTATTATTATTAAGTGAAAAAATAAAATATTTATGTATTAAATATATTTACAAAATTATTATTTTTTTTAAAAAAGAATTTTATTCGTCCACTGATCCACGCGCGTTTAATCCCGAAAAAAGTCCCGAAACTTTTTTTTAAAGTATAAATTTAAAATAAAAAATTTTTCTCGATTTATCGGTATTGGCCGATAATTGTTGAACTGATTTGGTTATGCGGCTACTACTTTACGGAAATTTTCTAGGTTTAATAATATATTACTAATTAATAACAGAATAATATATATCAAAATGAAAGAAAATCTCTCACTATAAATAATATTAATAATAATAATAATAATAATAATATGTATATATATATACATATATATATATATATATATGTATAATTATGTATTTTTTTTTCTACATTTATATATGTAATTGGAAGATCAAAAATAGTTTAGTGTACAATGTATAAATGGAAAAAATTTTCCTGCCCCTCATCCACTTAGCAAATTACATAAGGGGAAATGTAAATGCAGAAATGCAAAAAGAAATTCATGATCATCTTTGAGGTTAAAGGCTAATGTGTATGCATATTAATATTACATCTAATATAAATCTACGCATTAACGTAACCACCCTACATCCAATCAATTAAATTCAAGTAGAACAAATTCTTTTTTAAAAAATTTTTATCCGATTATATAAACCTTTAGTAATTTGAATTATGGTTACAAATTTTTGTACAAGTCTTAGCATTTTAGATCAAAAACTTTCTTTTTATACTTATATAATTTATATTCTAAAAAGTAAAGATTATCGTTGTATTATAATCACGATTCATTCTAGATTTAGAAAAGAAGGTGAAACTCAAACACAAAAAACATTAATTAAAGTTTCATATAAAGCAAGTCACAATAAAGAAAATGTAATTGTGCATAATTAAATCATACAATAAAAAAATTACCCACGACGCGAATTACGCGGCCATTTTTGGAAAGAGTTTCAAAAAAGAATTAATGCAGTTAAAATTATTATTTAATTAAATCAACCCCAAATCAAAAATCATTATAAAAAACAATACCACATATCCAAATACATAAATTTCGGAAAATACGGTTAAACTCACGAAATCAAAAAAATCTATAAAATACGCGAATCATGATATCATATAATAAAGAAAAAAAAAAAATATTACATCAATATCATTTGTTCCCAAGAAACAAACGGATAAACAAAATTTCAACAAGGTTAGATAAATCCACAAAAAGAAAGTAGACCGTTCAACTTTACCACTCCACACGCGACTTCCTTATATCCTAATCTTTGTCAACCGGATCCAACCTATTAAAGAAATAAAAGAATAAATTAATCATATTATCAAAAATGGTTCGTTATTATAAATTAAAAAAGTAAATCAAAGAGTTGTTAAAATGACATTCCCGATAGAAGATTATCAATAAATCAGGATTATAGTGTTACAATTTATCTTTATGATCAATATACATATAAATGATTTTACTGATCTTTTTTTCTTGATAAAATTTATTTTATACTTACATCATCGTATTTTCTCTTGGAAGAAAGCTTTTCCACGCGTTGCTTTTTATGCATGACAATTTTACGCCATGTGTACCCGTGCGACAAATATGCATGCAAAATCAAAAAAACAAAAAAAAATTGAGCATGTTCCATGAATTTTTATAAACAAAAATACGATATTAGTTTAAGCTACGAAAAATAAATAATATTATAATTTCCGTGGAAGTCACAAATTAAGTTAATTACATTATGGTTGACTTTATTTAATATGCTAAAATTGATAAGTTAAAATTAATTTAGATAAAAAAAAAATAATACAAATAATTTTTAATTTACCATTTAAAGTATTAATCTAAAATAAACTAAAAATAAATATCCAAAACAAATAATATGCTGCTTACCTTGCGTGATTCAACCCGAGTCTTTACAAGTCTTTATAATTACTTGAATATAATAATTGTAACGTGTTCTGGTCGATTTTGAATCCTTCAAGGATTTTCCTCACCTCTCATTAAAGACTGTTATATGTCGCTAAGTTTTTTAAAAAAAATAAATTACGAATTTTTTTCCTCGGAGGAAACTTTTTTCAGCTAAATGAAAAACTGGCAATGAAGTAACTACATACTGATGACATTCCGAAGGGCAAAGAGCAAAAAAAAAAAAATATTTTGTGATCGGTCACTTATATATTCGTGTTAGAAGTTAACGATCATTCACGTGGTCACAACAGGTGATGTTTAAGCCATATTTGTCACATAATACGTTTTTAACAAGCCACAAATAACAAATTTCACTGCTTCAACTAAATAGAAAAGCTTTATAATAATCAATGTCAAGTTCATCGACACCAACAAGTGAAAATAATCATCCCCAACGTAGTCCTCTTAGTAACCGACGTAGCTCTCACAGTAGTATACAAAGTAGTCCTCAACATAGCTCTAACGAAAATGAAAACGATAATTCAATCGGAATAGAGCGAAATACATCAATTCGCAGCGATTCAGGCAGTGATCATGAGGTGGTTCAACATAAACGTGTGAAACGTCATATTGCAGAATCTAGTCAAGATAGCTCTCGTGGTAGATCTTCAAGTAGCTCAAGGTCGATAACGCCAACTGCACAATCTCCTAAAAATAAAGATACGAATTCCAAATCTTTTTCAGAAAATCAATTGATAAAAGAAAGTCCTTGGGAAATTACAGAGGCAGATACTTTAAAGAATAACTCCGATAATGAAGATATTGATGATTTATTTGGAGGTGCAGTTAGTGATGAAGATGAACATAATGAATAGTAAGTGTTTGATCTAATAATACTTTACCTTATTTGTTATTAATTCTTTTCATTGCTAAAGTTCACGTAGGGAATCAATTGAAGCTACTACACCGGTTTCAGATGATGAAAAGTATACTAGACCTAGATCATTTAATACTGGAAATTATGAGTTAACCTACGCAAAACCTCCAGAGAGTTGTGACGGAAAAGTATTTATTTTTCGTTCCTACGTCAATATTTAATCATCAAACCGGGTTTAATATAAATTAATATATATTGTTTTTCTTAGTATTATATAGCAAAATTGCCAAATTTTTTTACTTATTGTAACCAAGCCTATGCTCCTGAAAGTTATACGGAAGAAGACGATTACAAGCATGAGACTACAATTAGATTGGGTGCAGAAAACACCATAAGATGGCGATATAAAAGGAACGAAATGGGAGGAGAGGCAATTATAATTTGATTTTGTAACTTGTTTTAACTTATTGAGTTATATGACGTATATAATAATAATTATAATAATAATAATTAACGGAATATTTGTCTAGACCGAAGTAAAGGAATCAAACACTAAAATGATAAAGTGGTCGGATGGTTCAATGTCACTTCTTATTGGCGAAGAGATGTTTCTAATCAATTCTCATGATATATCAAAACAACATACATTTCTTGGTATACCAAATATTCATAGTAATTCAATCGAAAATCATGCAAGATTGACGCATCAAATTACTTTCCGTCCTGATGCTAGCAGCAGGACACACAAAAGACTGAGTGCCGCCATTCAAGCTAGAAATGTTAAGCAAGTCAAGACAAAATTTGTCGATATAAATGATCCAAAATTGATCGAATTGCAACTTCAAGTATATTTCTATATATTTATTAATTATTTAATATAACTTGTATATTCATTGTCAATATAACATAATCCTTGTAGGGTGAAAGAGAAAAAAAACCACGTAATGAAAAACGTGCAACTACAACATCAAAATCAAGATCACGTAAAAGGTCTTTTGATGATTATTCAGATCCAGATGAACTAACATATTCATCCTATAGAAGAAATGATTCATATGAGGATGATACTGGTTTTGTGGTTGCAGATGAAAACGATTCTGATGATGAGTATGGCCGCCCAGAAAAAAAACATAAAGGAAAAGAAAGGGCTGTTGAAAGTCGTAGGAAGAGGGACTTATCTTCTGATGACGACGTGCCAAGAACACGAAAACGCCATCTCAAAATGGACAGGGCAAAGAATTTGAATGAATACGAAGATAATGATCAAGAAGATAATGATCAAGAAGATAATGATCAAGAAGATAATGATCAAGAAGATCAAGAAGATAATGATCAAGAAGAGCATGAAGAGCACGAAGAGGAGGATGGTGACATATCACCTGTTACAAAGCAGGCAAATGAAGATATTGAAGGAGTCAATGCTGATGTTGATATGAATGATAGTCTTTTACTTGATAACGATGAGGAAGAAGAAGATATTCCTGTTGTAAATAAAAAACCAAGAAGAAACAGGAATATTTTTAATGATGAATAAAATTTTTCTTAAAAAAAAATTCTATTAGAATATCAAGCAATTTAAGTAAATAATAAGAAATCTAATAAACATTATTAATTTTAATATTCGTAAAAGCTTTTTTTTGCACGCTGTATAATATTGTAATAGTGAGATTCTAAAAATGATTAAACTAAATAATAGTTTAAATCATCTAATAATATTATTATCGGTTAGATGCAATTTTTATAACCAACTCCCGTTATTATCCAATAATTTTATTATTATGCTAATACATAGTAAAATGAGATAAGAATTAAATAAGAAAGAAAAATTGTAGAAAGAATAATTATATGATTGTTAAATAACTAATATTAGGTTAATTTTGAAAAGCAGTTTAAAATAATTATAAACCTAATTCTAAAATCATTTATTGCTGTTTTCGAATTGGTGTGGTCGTTGCTTAATTTCTATAATAACAATAATTGACTCCTTGATTACAAAATTTTTTTTTTTTTTTTGAGTTGGCAAACGCTTTATTTAAACGAACAGTGAAAGATACTACAAACTATTACAAAAACAAAGCTACACATCCAAAGGTCAATTCAGCCATTCTCTACTCTAATTAAAGTATAATAATACTGATGGGAAAATAGAAATTGAAGTTAGCAGCCCTATGGCAACAAAAAACTCAAGAGAGAAAAAGAACTGACTAACTGATAAAAAAAATTTCAGAAATTCTATCTGTAAAAACAAATAAAACTAAAACTATTGTAAGAAGTTAACTCTTCATATTGCAAAAGAGCCCAGTTTTTTGTCACTTTTAAATCCTATCCATTAGCTTCTTTAACATCTTTCAATTCAATTACTTCCTTATAAAGTTTTCACTTGAAGATTCTGGAACCTTCTTTTTCTTATCCTTACTCTGAGTGGCATCAGATTTGTAGTTCTAGTTGAAAGGGCCTCTTGTGTTATCTTACTTCTTATTATACTCTTGCCATTTGCAAGAATTCAGGAGAATCCTATTAGTACATATCTGTAACTTTATCTATAGTAAGGAAATCTTTTTGTGAGAATTGTTTATAAAATCTTAAGTCTTTTCCTGGTTCTTGAAATAGTATTTCAATTCTATTTTAAAGAGTCATCTGGATTCAATCCAGATCTTAACAGTTCATTCAAATTATAATTCAAATCAATAGATTTATCCTTTATTTAGAATCTATCTGAATTAATTTCATTTGATTTAAGAATTTATTCTTAATTTCACCAAATTTTAATAATTGAACTTTAAAAGGTTATCAGCCATGATTTAGAACTTAATATATGATTCATAAGAAAATTTTTGAAATAATAGAAAACTAAAAATTAAGAAATATATATATCTATATATATATAATTTAGATCAGTATCCTAGAATTATTATTTGAATTCATTAATGGATTCATCCATCTAAAAATGTAAGTTGTGAATATTTAAATTCAATCTGAATTGAACAGATTGGCCAAATTATGGATTGGAATACTAATTTTAAATTTGTGATTAAAATGTGAAAAAGCAAAATAATACTAATTTAACATCTTACCTTTAATCTTATACTTTCTACTTATAAGATTATTTAAATCTTTCCACTTTTTGAAATATAAAACAAGTTTACACTTTCTTTTTTTAGTAGTAATAACTTTAAAGGTTTTGTAGCCAAATATTACCATTAAAGTGGTATGGGATGTGATTGATTATTATAAAACAGTGAATTCCATTAGTTTGACTTGAAGATTTAAGTCAATCAAGTCAATCAATTTGGTTTGACTTTAGCTTCAAGTTGGATTGAACTGAACTATTAGCATTACTACTGAAAACTATCTGACTGAAATGTTTTCTAATAGCATTATTTAAACTTTATTATTCCAGATGTATTTACATAGATTATTTATTTCTAATTTAAATCTAACTATATTGTATTTCTTCTGCCATGTAATTCAAATAAAAATAACTTTGCTCTAGACTTTCAAATGTAAAGATGCTTGCCAAAACTATTATTTTAAAATTTTAGTTTAGTCAAAATTTAATCTAAAACTATCTTTTATAATAAAATTAATTGCCTAAACTGTTTTTATGCTTTTTTGAAACTAATTATAGTTTAGAAAAGTTTCAGATTTACCAATTTTTTTATTAAAAATAAAGTTTTTGAGTTTCAGATTTTTGAATTTTATCGTTAAATGAATTTTGAGTAGCAACATTATTTAAATGGTGTAATAAGTCTACATTTTTTCAGGTTAAAGGAACATTATAAATTATAATATCATTAACATTAACTAAAACTGATTCTGTTAGTTGATACCTTATAATGATAAGTGTAACCATTTTCCTAATAGCCAATTTTATTTGTTTTTTTATGCTCTTATTAGAAGTAAATAGACCAATTATCATCTTACAGTTATTTAAATTAGCAAATTCATATTGTAAGAAAATAGCCTTCTGCTTTAGTTCAGCTTTGTTAATAATATAGTTAGTAACTTTTTTTCTTCAACTAATTTTTCTTTTTTACATTTATATTTTGGAAAAATAGTATGAACTATAGAATTTCAAATGGATCAGATCAAGTTAAGTTAATTGATAAATCTGATCTGAATTTTTTTTTCAGATCAGATCAGGTCAGCAGGTTATATCAGATTATCTGTTTGACCTGACCTAAAAGGACCCTGGATATCTCCAAAACAGGTCATAAATCACACTTTCGGCAGATTGGCCCATTTTTCAGGGGCTCAAGTTCATTAAAATTGAATTACTGGATGCTGAGATATTTACAAAAAACGATTTTTTGAGTTTCAGCAAAAAGGGGTGTTTTTGGCCAAAAGTCCATTATGACCTTTATATTAGATATCCGGGGTCCTGACATAAACTAAAACCTGAAAATTTTCAGGATTTTTATTAAAATATCAAAAAAAAATGGTGCAAACCTTTTTTTTTTGAAATATTGCAATTTACTTATATTAAAATCGTATAAAAAGGTGAATCACAATATTGCAACTAACTTTTTATATATAAATCAATATAAAAAAGTGAATTCTGATACCACAATTCACTTTTTATATATAAAATCAATATAAAAAAGTGAATTTTGATATCGCAATTCACTTTTTATATATAAAATCAATATAAAAAAGTGAATTATAATACCATAACTCACTTATATTATATAAGATCATAGTTTTAGGTTTACAGGTCATTCAGATTATATTAATGTTACAACCTGAACTGATGCTGAATTGCAATTGCTAAACCTGACCTGATAAATTCAAGTCAACCTGTCAGGTTACCTGAATTTGATCAACCTGTTCAGAATTCTAATGAACTATATAGATTTATCTTTTTTGAGAGGTTATGCAGATTGTAATTAATGCAATATCAAGGGCTGAGATTTCTAATCTAATATGAAACTTATATTAGTTGTATTATTATGTGTAATTAGTTAAGATTATTGTAGTATTAGTAATCCTTAGTAAATAGTAACATCTAAAATAAATAAGACAATATGATGTACAATTTAGTTAAAGAGCATATAAGTTAGATGTTATTTTTATTTTTTGGTTAAGTTTCTCTAATGGTAGCATATATACTTGAGGTAGGATTCTGCTTACTTATAATAAAGGCTACTGTAGAAAATTGGTCTTTTACTAATGATTTTTACTTTACCTTTTTCTTAAATTCTATTAATTAATTAGTTAAAAAAGAAAAAATTCATAACAATGTAATATAAAATTTTTTTTTATAATAGGATCTGCAAAGAATTTTATATATGATTTTTACCTTAGTTTGGAAATAACCTATCTTATAAATAAGCAGGATCCTTTTGAAGTTTAACAAGTAATTCTTTTATATTTTTCACTTCAAATTAAGCTATCAATATTTCATAAATATTTCTATTTAGTTTTAGATTTTCTTTACTACAATAAACAAAAAACTTAGAATAAATATCCTTTATTTTTGTAAATATATTATTATGTTTTACATTAAACTTTTTTATAACTTTAATATATTTCATTTTGTATTAACTTTTTCTAAATTATTTTATTTACAGAAACAAATTTAATTGCCTCCTTTTTAATTACAAAAATAAAATTATATTTACTATAAATACTATAGAATTTATAGTTCTATATCTAATATAATATATATAATTTTAGTATTATTTGTCATTATGGATGGAGACAATTCTATTGGTTCAGTTTCAATTTTACAGAACAGTTAAACCAATTTTGAGCAATTTAGTACTGAGCAGTTTTGAATGGTTCAGTAAGATCCTGAACATTACTAAAACAACTCAGATTTCATATAACTAAACTTTCAAAATGTGATATCTCAGTCAATATTATACCTAAAAAAATAGATTATATATTAAAATGTTCGTTTTGTTGAAATGAATCTAACAAGCTAAAGATCATTAAAATCCAATCACTAGATTCTGAGATAAAAAAATTTGAGGTTAAAATTTACATATAACTTTATATATTTGGAATAAAAATTAATTATAAACTTTATACAAATTCAGATCTGAGTTTTTTTAGTAATATTTGGAGTTCTGGTTCAGTTCTACAGAATAAACTCTGATAATTTCAGTCAGAATCAAATAATTTGCACAAAAATTACCTTTTTTTTGGAATTTGTGTAACCTTATATGTATTTTTTGATGAAATAAAATTTCCTTTTTTTGCTTTTCCATTCTTATCTGTCATATAACTTTTTGCAAAGCATTTTATTATATGTATTTTAAAAACAGTTTTTTTTGCCATATGTGATTATTTACCATTTTTTATTTGTTATACTATTAAATAAGTTAAAATAAGTTTTTATTACTAAAGATTAAAATTACTTGTCTAAACTTCTCCAAAATCCTACAATTAGTTTCTTTAAAATTTTACTATAGTTTTATAATAGTTTAGTAAAGTTTTAGTAGTTTTAGCATTTATAATAAGTTTTATCAGATTTTGCTTTTCTTTAGAATTTTACTAACTTTTTAATAAAACTTTTATATAGTTTTAGCAAAGTTCTGCTATTTTAGTATTTTGCTAACTTACCAAAACCTTTTAATTTTTTAGCAATCTTTATTATAGATGTAGAAATACTACTCATACTATAGTTTATTTAAACTGTATAATACTAAACTACCAATGTATAAATTTTATTAATATTTTTTTTGAGTTTATCTTTTATTTTTGTTATAATTTATAAGCTAATTTTTAAAGATCTGATTTCTAAAAACTGATTTCTATAAATTTTAAAGTTTCCTAATAATTAATTAAATATTAGATAATATTTTTTTTTTTTATTTTTATAATTTCTAATTATTTTTTCATTTTTAAATATTTTTTTTTATTATTATAAATAAGCTATATTTCTTATTTTTGGTTGTTTTTAGTATTTTCAGTATTTTTTTCAAAATGTTCTTATTCTAAATCTATAATTTAGAAT